CTGAGGTCCCCGAGGAGACCCGTTGCCACTAGCCTGAGCCTTGTCCTCCCCCGAATCAGCGGGCGGGTCACGGCTGGGAACGGGGGGGTTACCCGGAAGAGACGTGTTTAGAATGCGAACGGTGCTTTCTGTGTTTCTTCCTACTTGCCGGCTGTGAGGCCGCAGTGGAGACAGCTCGCTCCGCCTGCAGGTGGTCTACTCTGCCTGCCAGGGACGCAATTTGCCCCGACAGTCCTTCGACCAATGCCCTCATTTCAGTGGCAAAACCGGCGCCGTGCGAGGATGGACCCATAGGAGGAATGACCTCCAGGGGCACAGCCTCGCTGTTGCCGGTAAAGTTGGGTAACCCACTGCCTGAAAAAACAGACTGTGCAGATGCCCTCCGATCAGCAGGGGGAGACCGAAATACATCGGCACCTCCACTATCGAGCCCTTTGCTTGGTATCCCGGTATGAGAACCGGTAGCCGAGCGCGAGGACTTATCACTCATCACAACTCACTCATACCCATGCCGGTAGCACTTGCCGCGCGACCTTTTCGCGAGCGACGCGGTCAGTCTCTGCAATTTTTACATACTGCTGGAAAGAATCCCAGGCTTCAGAACCCCAGTGATTGCAAATATTCTCTGGGCAGACACCCGAACCCCGAACGCACGTGATACAACAGTAGCATTTAGCATGCGGGTTCCATTCCTGCAAGTTCTGTGTACACTGATTGCAGATCCGTCTCAAAAACTGAGGAGATAATACCGGCGGCGAGCCTCTGGCGTTGCCAGTGCATGACGACATGCATGAGGGAAACGAAATACAGTTGTAAAAGGTGCCGCCATGAAACCAACATGTGGTTACGTAGTGGCGCCGGGTTTTAATTTCTTTGTTGTGGAAAAGCATAACACACAAAGGGGAAAACGACACGAGCGTAAAAAGACAAGGAAAACTTATCTTACCAGCTAGAATGTCAGATGCTGCGGCTGCGGCGACGACCCACGCTAGAAACCCGGACAGGAAAAAGCAACAGAGCCAGGCAGAGCCGCTCAGAATCATTCCCCGACGAGGCGGAGAAACATGGGGCCCAGGGGCACCGAAGTCCTTTGGAATTAAGTAGAACTTGGGAAGCAGACATACATGATTTTAACTGGTACTGTTCAAGATTCTGACTATTAATATGTTCAAAATTCAGCAAGTAATCTTAAGATGAATTTAAAGAATCATCTTTGTTACCCAGTATAAGTACACTGCTAGTCTTAGCACAAGTGCTATCAACTTGCTTTATATTTAGTTCCATTCAATTCATTATCAAGTACATTATCAGGTTCAGTGTCAAGTTTATTATCAGATATATTGCAAACTGAATTATGAGATTCATTAGTAATGGTTATACCCTCAATTTTGCCTTTGAGACTGTTTCCTCATTAATTGGGTGACTGTTTTTTTATGAGGGCAGTCTCCTCAGCTTGTTTGGTCCATCTGCATGTTCTCTGAAAAAAAGAAGAAACACAAACAGGTTCAATGAAAGCATCATGTCATTCATACCTACAATGAATTTGTAGCACATAAATTTTGAGGCCTACTAGAATTCGAATAAAAATAATGATTGCACAAATAAAATACTGGAATATTTTTTCACCACGCATTTGTCAACTATCAAAACAATATGTAATTTAGCTATTAAGTTGCATTTGCAAATCATCCACACTAGCAACATGACATGCAGATTACATCAAATCTGTTGAGATGTTCATTAGCTAATTTACCTATGCAAATTACTCCCAATAATATGACATGACAATTACATCAATGTATATGCCTACCAAATTTGATCCAAACCTGTTGAGTCATTTAAGAATAATCCAAATTTAGTAAAAAAAACAATATGCTATTGACATTTACATATGCAAATT